ACACATCTTTTATAGCTGCACCTAGCTCAACATCATAAAGTGTTTGATAATTACAGAAAATGGTTGAAGTGTTTAGAAGGTAACATTGTCAGACAGGAAAATATTATCTACAATGAACTGTATTTGTTTGACCTGAACACAACATACACTACTTTCGGCCTCTCAAAACAGTTCACTTTGACGACTGTTATTTGACGATTCAGTCATGAATATGTGTTTGAATATTGCATATAATCATCACATCTACTAATTGACTACTTTTAATCTAATATGCATTTTCACTTAGGAAATATTTTTCTGAAAGTAAAAATAATGATGATAATAATGGTATACATTATCTGAGCATATGATCTGTCTTGAGACCTCAGTTAGTGTTTATAGAAATCGCAATGATTGTACTTTCTTGTTGTTTATAACCATATTCTGTTGCTTGTGTGGAAGTCGGCATTTCAAGATGTATTGTCTGTTTAAAGGTCATCGCTGCAGTACATGTCCCAGAAAATGGTATGGTGAAATTCTAAAGCCCGGAAACGATATCAACAACCGAAAGTTTGTTCTAGAAGATTCAAGATTGGAACAGTGACAGTAACGGTAGCTCTCAACAAAAATGGCTCTCGTCACTGTAGAAAATATTGGAGATGCCACAGTTATTTGGAGTTTGACAAAGCTTTAACCAGTAACACTTATTATGAATCATACCCACAAAGTGAAATCAAAAGTCAGAAGCGAGGAAATTCGAAGATGTGTTTGATAGGCTATCAATATATCGTCAATCGACTGATCTAATCTTGTTAGCGACTGCATGGGATGTCGAGCAGGGCGTTACCACTCGTGATCTGTTGCGGATACATGACTTATCACCTTCAGCTAAGTGAGTGCATTAAAACTAATATGGTCAGCGTCCAAAGTCGAAGACTTAGAGAGCTAATTATTTTGGAGATTTATTCACCGGTACAAAGTGAATTTAAAAAATAACTTGGTTTAAAAATATACATACTCATACCTGATTGAATAATAAATCTATTTGCTGATTGACTATGAGAGCCAATTGAACTAGCTGTACATGGGAATTTCAATTAAATTAACATTTTCCAACTTCATTTAATCATCTTTGTCGAGATGATTTCCATGATCATTTAAAAATCTTCAAGTTGAATTCATAAGTCAAAACCTGGACCCACTGAACAGCCATTTCATAAATTGTTTATCAATAATTCATAAATCCCTTGAATTCACTGTGATCACTTCTAATGAAGATTGAAGTTGATCTAAGTCCAATTGTAAATTAAAATCACTTGATAAATAAACTGGTGTATAAACAAAAATGCATAGTGGTTAGCAGTGGAATCGAGGATCTGCGTTTCATCCTATTTGTGATTCGGTCAGCTGGATGTTCACTCGTGGACTCAAACCCACTACTTCTCGTTTCAAACGCCATCGCGTTATGCGCTAAGCTTCTGAGTCCTGATAACTACTTGCTTGTGCAATGGGATGAAGTTTAAATTCACTTGGTGTTGTTTGCTTGTATCTTCCCAATGTTATTTAGGACTGCAGTTGATCAATCTCATTGGGAAGATTCAAACAAACAATACAAAACTGATCAATTACCGTGCCAATCAACAATGGGAAGATACAAACAAACAACATCAAGTGAATTCAAACTTGTGCGTCATTTGATTTCCATGTGAACCATTCAATTTGACCAGATGAATTAGAATCTGTTTAACACTAATATGAAATGAAATGAGACTAGATATTGTAGGTATAATTATCAAGGTTTGACTTGATCATTTCAAATAAATTAAACATTAGGTAGATTGGTTTCAATAAAAATAACAGATTTGTAGATATCCCAATGAGTAGAACTACATATTCTGAAGTTTTGTGACTCAATGTGAGTCACCTCATCGAATCCAAATTAATCCAAGTTGGAATAGTACAAAGGAACAAAGCAAGGACATTAGGCGTGACCAATCCAAAACAGGTCTGAACAAATCAATGTCATGTGATTTCGGTCAAGATGATTTGTATGCGACGTGTATGTAGATATGTGTGTGTATGGTCACGAATGAAAACATGTGACCTTCGTGGTGAGAAAGGATAGAGTTTCATTTGTATGTAAGATAATAGTGTGAAATGTGAATAGAATCAGATATGTTAGCTTGGATAGATAGTTTAAATCGGATAGATAGTATGGTCTTTTCTATTGAGAGCAGAAGGACTAAGGCTTAAATAGAAGGCTTGAGCTACTCTCGTTTCTTTGTAGTTGGAGCAGCTTTTTTGTATCAGTTTGGCGATTTTGATATCGATTTGGTGGTTGTTGAAAATGGTATGATCGATCGCATCTAATATTCTTGCTTTGTTCCTTTGTACTATTTAAACTTGGATTAATTTTGATCGGGTTATTCATCTAGTCTCTGAAGAAGTGACTTACACTGAGTGGCGAAACACCGGAATATCTCACTTTTCTACTCATTGAGATATCTACAAATCTATTATTACTTTTATCTGAAAGAAGGATTGCTTAAATGAGTCAATAGATGATAAATAATTTTATGAATCTTTTTCTTCTGTGTTGTTGACTAGTATTGCCATTTAGATATTTACTGAATATGTGAAGGACTTTTGAGTTATATCTAAATGATTAATGAGGCTTCCAACCTTAAAAAATTATCTGTACTAACTACTTCAAGAACTTCTGTAAGAATGATGTAACTGTGGGTGACTGTGTTTTCACAACTTTCATCGGTATTTGCAACAATGGGAATTAAGATGGAGCTCATATGTTTACAAATGGATAGTACTTTGAATGAGACAAGGTTGCCTTAACTTGAGGTTTGTAAGATGAATTACTTAAAACCTTGATTTACTTAATTATTGTTCAGACTAACAAAAGCATTAAGAAGCTCAGAAAGAGTCTAATACATTCAACCCAATCACCTTCTGGACGAACATTCTCGACGTATAGCTTCCCTGTTGAACAAATGCTAAAAACCAATGGATGCGAATTGGATGACTATAAAGATGGTTTCACTTTTAATAATATTAATTAAACTAATAACTACAATAATAATGAAGGTTTGCTAGCTGTGCACTCTTGTTCGAACTAAGGGGACTGATGATAATTCAGAGGATTGTATATCGACTGACCAACAATGATGTCAGATTATCTCGTTGGTGATCAAAGTCAATCCTACCTGCTCACACGTCTCATTGGTGACAAAATTTGTAGTTGTTCTGTAAAGAAATTAAAATGTTTCAGTTAGACATCCATCAGTATTTCTTCAAAAAACTGAATTGTCCTCTGACCCATCAAATATCAAGTGAAAAAATCACTAATCAGAATAATGACACCTATGACCGAATCCCCGCGCTAAACCAATGATGAGTCGAAAAGCACTAGTATTCTTGAGTCAATTCAGAATCCATATTGCTTCTCTGTATCAAAGTTTCTCATCTACCTCAGCCTGTTCAATCTGGAATACAAAGATCATACGCCGCTATATGAATCTGATATTTCAGATATACGCAATTTCTTCGATGCGGTGAGATGTGTCACTCGTGCTTAAGTCAAAGGAGATTAATTAGACGTCTGTTGTATTTTCCATCATCATTTCAACCTATTCGTTGTAAAAAATAACACGTCAGCAGACTTTCGAGATTTCCGCAGATTATTAGTAAGGAATTTCAAATTACAGAAATGAGAAATTTCCGGCTATTGATCACTGCATAACGATACATAGTTTCACTCTTTAGGTATGAAGAATAGTATGACCTGATTTTCATTCACATAGTGTTAGCCGTTTCTTTTCAATGACAAATCGATAAACAGCACAGCTCAATAAGAATAAATTGAATAGTGAAAATGTTAATTGACAAAGTTATTAGACGTTTTAGCTGAATAAATCCGACCAAGAATGAACTGCAAAACTCAGGAACTGATATAATTATTCGTTGATGATGTTTGATGAGGTTGGTGATTTGGCCAGCACCTGGACCAACAACTGAACAGATTCATGCTAATGGCAATACTCGAGGGTTATGCACTTGATCTCATGTGAATTCAAGGGTGGGCTGAAAATGGAGTCCGGGAATAAATTCACTTACTAATGGTTTTTCGTTTGAACCAAATTATTGTCTGATGTAACTATTCCTCTTGTCAAGAAACGTACTGCTAATCAAGATACTCATCTTAAGCAATCAAGAGGAGTACGAGTTTGGTGAAAGAGAACATGTTAATGACTTGAATGTTTGTAGTTCTACTTAACGGATCGACTAATTTAGGTGTCTTAAGAAAATCAATAATATTTGCATATCATTTTGCTCTTCGTACATGATTTCTCTGTATATAACGACAATGAATGACTTCTAGCGGTATTATTTGCAATCCACGTAAACAACGGTGATCATCGGAGTTCTTTCGCATCAGTCTAGTAGATTATTCACTAATTTCAAGTCTGAATGAAGGAGTTCACAGTAGAATGTGAACTCATCTAGCTGAATAGCTTCACAAAACATCAGATGTGTTTGTTGGATTATCTTCACTGTCCATTATTCAAGACATAACCGTCTTATAAATGCAATTGCACTTAGGTATTCATTGTTTAATTCACATAACTGTCAACACTCTTGCATATCAATAATGGAAGGATACGGAAACACAAAGTTGTTGAATAGTTTTAGACTCTTAATCTCTATGGGTGTATGGAGTTTAGATGGTGATCGACAACAAAGTAACTTATTGAAATTCACTTTCAACAAGTCAATTATGGGGATAATTTGGATTGATTACACTGAACCATGATCATTAATTCATGGAAATCAATGAACAATTCAATATTAAAACTATTTTGTGAACTCCGGATACATGGCTCCAAGGCATACATCACTTGAAACTCATTTATACAATCAGACATTATTTGTTTGTTTGAAAGGAGATTAAATGAATAATTCATAAATGACATAAGCACTAGTAATCCATATACTTTCAATCTTAGTCTCTATGCATAAAGGTGACACAGGTAATATTTCTCTCTATGTATAGAATTCATTGTCAAATCCACATTGCTGTTGTTGTTGTTTTTATATTTCATAACTATTAAGTTTGTCTTAAATTGTTCCTACTCTCTCCCTTTCCACTCTCTTGTATATGGTTTTGTACTACTTATTTACATTCAGTAAGCAATTGTATTCGCAACAATTTTCACATTTATGTTGTCATGCAAGTTGTGGTGTAACACTCTGAAATGTTCACATATATTTATGACGTTTATTGTACTTATCATTGTATTTATCATTTTAATTACTATACCCTAGTCACTGCAGCGGTTATCCACAGTTTCATGCATTTGTCTAAATGCAGCAGTTTCCATATTGTTTTGCTGTTGGTTCGGTTTTCGGTTGTTCATAAACTGTTGTCAAATATCGACACAGCTATCAGCTGTCTTTTGTACTATCGCATGTTATAATTATTATTTATGTCCCAGACACCTCACAAGTTGAGGTTTGTAACTAAATTTTGTGTATAAGATTATTCATTATGATTTGCTTATACAACTTCTGTAGTCCATCTTATTTGTTAGACCACTGTATTCAAGTAATCTCAATTGTCATTTATAAATTCTCAGTGATTTATCTCAGTATTGGCATGTGGTCACAAATGATTCTTAAAGTTGAGTAATGACATACAATCGACTGTATGTTGTACTTTATGTTGCATGTAGGACGCGTCAGGAGGATCAACAATCGTCCTAATATTGATGTTCATACAGAGAACTGAATTCGTTACATAATCACTTCAAACATCGACGCGTTATTCACTGAAATGGTGAATAGAAATGGAAGTACTGAATTGTTATAAGAGAGAACGTGTTTTTCGGAAACAGTCGAATATCATAATCAAGTTGCCTATTTGAATGAAGTTTATTATTAACCAACATCATTGAGTGACATTCAGTTAACTAAACATTGGCAAGTATTAGGTACTGAATAGATGTTTCATAGTGGTGTGGAACTCTTAACGACTGAACATCTAAGACTTCAACAAGAGTCGATTTTATGATCATTAATGTTATTTTCAGTCATTAATATTCTTCGGACAAAAGTAGTATACATCACAGCTGTATGATATTTTCTCCCATATTCCTCGTTTTCCCCATTACTAACTTATGCTGATTAAAAAAGTTTTGATAAATATAGAACAATCTATATTTCACTACAATTTCGGACTCGATCACATCTCTTCTTTACATGCTATTGTTCACTCAGCCTTTCAGTATTAACATGTAATCTATGAAAATAAACCAATGAATAACAATTCGTTTGTTCAAACGCTAATCTCCTTGATGATGTATTATACATAGTTGTCTTTTTGTTTTACCAAATGGAAGTGCACATTCTGGTTTATGTCCTAAAAAATTGAAAACTACACAGACTGAGTGTTGTGACATTTTGCTATTCAATCATTCAAAAGTCTGATTGAGTCAACAATATGTTGAATAGTAGTTCAATTCCTCAAACATCGTATCATTTATGAAACCAATGTGATACAGATTCATATTATTCCACCGAAATCACAATATGCTGTGTATTTGTTCACTTGAACAGTCCTGAAGAGAAATTAATCTGGTCGTAACTGCCTGCAGACTTCAGTATTGTAGAGATTCACGTATTGATATGGAAGATTTCTTAAAAGGTGTATATTGGCGTATGTGGTCAGGGTTCTTTCAAAAAAGACGATTCGATCTATTACAAAGTAGCAAATATTTTATTATAAATTGAAGATGAACATGAATTCCAGCTTCAGTCACTTCTGGTAGACATCTAATACAAACAACCATCTGTTTGCGTAGTTATGAAGTGACCAAGATGTAAGATGGTTAAAGGGATCTGGCATGTAGCTTGAAACAAAAATTCTTCCTTAGTTCACACTTGGAATTATATGCAGTATAGAGAGCGCAGATGATTCATATATCACTCGAACAAATATTCCCTAGTTTCATGGTCAAAAAATGTTGTAATTCAGCTATAAACTCCACGATTTACCTCTTTTAAGACTGGCACCTTCATGTCGCTAATTAATTACTGTTAATTGACTTTTATTCTCCGTATTAATAGTCACCTAAGCAAGTATAAGTATCTGTTGATCTAATCTGAACTTGTTAATTTATTTATAGGGCTTAAATTGACGCCGTTATTGTCATTACTGATTTCTTTACTACTTATAGAAATATCAGTAGCTTCAAGCAGTGCATCAAAACACCATCTTATCTAAATGGTCATCAGGATAATATTAGAGTGATTTTGAGGAAATCCACACCTGACGTGGTCAGTAAAGAAAGCCCCTTATCAAAACCCTATTTGAATGGGGACATAACAGGTGGAATATTAACAGGTCGAATCAAAAGACCTATTGAAAGGGCATTTCCCACCGTCAGGTTGCATATAATCTCAGCCAAACGAGCACTTATTCAACAAATCAAGGATAGGTTATCGATGATTTGCTCCTTTATGTGTGCATACAAATTCAAATGCTCCAGTTGACCTAGTTACATAGGCCGTACTACGAACGCTGTACCCTTGTGTGCTCGTGAACGTGTACAAGGATGCTTGGGAATATAATTCACTAGGTCGGTTAACAGTCACATTCTTTCTCACCTAATACATAGTGAACATCATATTCAATTCCATAGAGCTTTCTATTGATTGTGTCAAGTTCCAAATGACCTATCTCAAGAAGCTAGACTACGGTCACTCTACATAGCTGAAGTCATCTGGATGAACTCCTGAAAACCGAATTGAAGTATCCAGAAGAGGTATATCCAGCATCGATGTTTACGGTGTTCAGCGACTGGATCATCAGACACCTGAACTAGATATTATAGACTTCTTATCCAAATTCCTTTAATGTTTACATCTTTCTTAATCCACCCATCCATTTTTCCTATGTCACATTCATTCCTTTTTATCGTAATTACCTTGATCATACTCATTTTATCGCATATTATATCCACACAAAGTTAGGTTCATCAGTTTTATTATTATGATTATATTGATGAAAACTTGGCACCTTACTACAAATCATCTTGACCTTCAAGAAGTGACCGTGAAGCACTGAACGGTCGTACAGGATAACCAACAACAACAAAGAACAACCCAATGCGAATGATTATAAAGTACTTCAACTTTTCTGATCTATCAAGTTACTAAGTGAAGTAGTACAATAATTGATTATTATTATTATTATCATTATTATTATTATTATATTTTTAATCGATAATAAGTTCGACAATAATGTTGATAAAAATACATGATTTAGCCATGGTTAATATGAATACATCGATTCATAATTACATTTGTATTGTTTTAATTATATTTATGTGTGTGTGTGTGTGAATTTCATGTTAATATCGACACTTCTTTGATCATATAAGAATAAGTTCATCTGGTATTGTTTAGCTTGTATCTTCCTGGATTCCACTGCTAGCCACTATCCATCACTGCTTACAAATAGCTTGTGAATTAAGGCAATATCGAGGCATACGCACAGTATGCACATATGCCAATAACAGACTGATCGATTGCAGTCTTAAACCTCAATGGGAAGATACAAGCCAAACAATACCAAGTGAATTCAGATTCACCCCATTCCACAAGCAAGTGGCTATCAGGACTCAGTAGCTGAGTGGATAAAGTTTGTGAGTAAATGGAGATCAGCTGAAAGTAACTTGAAAGCTATTAATCAGAAACTACAGATCATTGCCAAATTTCAATGACAAAACCGTTTATTTATTAATAAGATCGTATAGAAAATTCAGTAGATCCAAAATGACTGATAGTTAAAATAATAGTAACTTAGTAATCACAAATTACATTAGATGGTTAAGTAAACATTATATCACAAGCTATAATTTCGGATGAAACATGTAGCATTTAAGGAACAAGTAATGTTCTAACAAGAAGGGATGCATCGTAAGGACAAGAATAAATGATTATTAGAATTCAGATGAAATGTTGAGAAATAACTGCAGAAACTTGATACTAAAATGTACATAAATAGCACAAATATTTGAGGGGTTTCGTTACTTTGGAAACTGGAATTTCTTACTGTTATTAGTTTGCACATTTGCACAGAAAGTTATTCAATGAAAAACCACATGATCATTAATTAATAAACTTCACTTTGGATAGCAAATCAGTGAAACTAATAATTCACCTACCTGAAAATGTTTTAGAGATTTGCCTAGGGAAACAGATGTTATTTAATTATGATGTATAGAGTGAAGTTGGATAAAAGCCTAAGGAGCAGATGAATTTGAACAACCTAATTTATACAACGTTGAAAATTAGCACAATCATAAACTCATATTCCAAACAACCACTGGTCGGTAATAAAACGACGTAAGTAAAATTAAGTTTAAATAAACACATTAGAACATTCTATACAATAATAATATAGAAGCCATACAACAAACGGATATCAAGAAATACATACCTTAAACTCACGAGGCACAGCATATGCTCGCGTCCCCGACCACATCTGCTTAATGAGATCTGCATAAGCAGTAGCAATTCTTCCTTGAGATCCAAGTGGATTACGTATATTTAGTTCTGACTTCCATTTACCACTTAGGAAGTAACTGGTTAATGCAGGAACATTGGACATACACTGAAGAGCACTATTCATAAAACAGGTATTTCCCAAGTTATTGAGACCACAAACTCCTGGTACTAAAGGCGGACTGGACCCATGTAACGACAGCATCTGAGATTCAGGTTGAGATCCTATAGAGTCATTCGACTTCAAACGTGAACTATTTACGCATACGCTACATACAAAGAAGAATAGTATTGATACAATAAAAAAAGCCCCTGAATGCCCTGGTACGGCCGAGAGTGGGGAGAGTCCGCTCTCCCTCTCGAAATACTCTCACACGGCCACGCGTATACAGCCTCTGCCAGGGAAGTCCTACTCATTGCCTTCTCGTGGCGGGGGTGTTGTTTAAAAAAATGAGAGGACGAAAAGCTAATGTCCGGCGGTTTAACCGGATTCAAAACCAATGGTGAACATGGGCTCCAATATCCTGCGGAACAAATGGCGTATGAACCAATCGTTGGTCACCGGCTACCATGGGATTGCATCTCCTTATGATGCTTCACTGCCTTGTGGGTTAGACCTTAGGTCGAAGGCTCGGGGAGTGGCCCCCTAAGATAACCACCTGCTTCGGTTTGGGCACCCGGGCAGTATCACAGCCCACACACAAATTGATGAACTCTTTATGCCTATGGAAATTACCTTTCTCGCTTTGAAAAACAAACAATTGATTCAGATTATTATCATTACAATTATTGTCATTATTAATACTAATATTATTATTACTACTATTATTGTCATTATTGTTATTATTATCATTATTATTATTATTTTCCACATTATTCCCCCTCTTTTATACTTATACAGCGGCTCGTCTTTGGTGGAAATCCGACTGTATCTAAACGTTCTCGAGTCACTGTCCGGTTGAAAATTGTATGTTACCACCGAATACGAGGACTGAAGCAGATTTTCTGAAACCACGTGCACCATTCAAACTGGCTGCCTTCAACGTTCGCACATTTATGCAGGTCGGACAACAGATAGGGCTGGCTATGTTTTTGGAAAGTCTTAATATTGATGTTTGTTGTCTATCCGAGACCCGTATTCAAGACTCTGGCGAAGTACTACAAATTCAATCTCCATCTGTCGCTTCGAAAAGCTTGTTTTACGTGCGCTTATCCGGGGACCCTGTGGCATCTTCGTCTGGTCTTGCTGGCGTTGGTGTCGCACTAAGCGCTAGAGCTGAGGCAGCACTAGTCGATTGGATCCCCATTAACAGTCGGTTATGTGCTGTTAGATTAGAAAGTTCCATCAAAGTGAGAAGAAATCGGCGTGAGAAACGATGTCTTTTCGTCATCTCCGCCTATGCCCCGACAGATTGCAGCCCGGATGCAATCAAGAATGAGTTTTACCACCAGTTATCAGTTCTTCTCCAGAAAGTGCGTTCGACAGATATTGTAGTACTAGCCGGAGACTTGAATGTTCAGGTCGGGCGTCTAGGCACAGAAGAGAGTCGTTCAGGTGGCCGATGGGGACTTATTAGTCGCAGAACAGATAAAGGGGACCGTCTACTGCAATTATGTACAGACCACAACCTGTTTCTGGCTAGCACTAACTTTCGGCACAGTCATCGCCGATGTGCCACCTGGCGTCCTCCCTCTGCATCCCAAGCCTGGACTCAGATTGATCACATCGCGATCAGCTACCGCTGGCGTGGTTGTGTACAAGACTGCCGCTCCTTTTGGAGTACCTATCTGGACTCTGACCATGCCTTGGTCTGCGCCAATCTTGCCTTACTTTTCAGTGGCCAACGAAGTGACCACCACCAAAAGATTGATGTTAGCAAGCTGGTTGCAACTTCTGTTGCAAGTAAGTATCGAACCGAGCTAGCCTCTAGGCTAGCTACCACTCCACCGAAAAGTATAGATGAGCATTGGTTGCAATTGCATGACGCCATGTAAGTGGCGGGAACAGTCAGTTGTGGGTTTGCGAAACGTCCCGCTTATAAGCACTGGGTTTCTTCTGGTTCCTTACAACTCATTGTAGCCCGTCGGTCTACTCCGAGTGACCGTGAGTTTGACCATAAACGAAGGATGTTACGTAAGGAAATTGGGCAAAGCTTGCGTAAGGACCGAGAATCCTAGTGATCGGAGCGTGCCAATGAGCTGGAAGCAGCAGCTGCATCTGGTAACTACCGGAAGCTCTTCCAGCTCATCCGAGCCACTGGCAGCAAGAAGTCTGGTGTGAGCGAAACAATCTGTGAGGAAGACGGGATGCCAGTCACTAACATCCATGGACGTCTTGGACGATGGGCAGAATTCTTCGAAGGGCAGTTCCACTGGCCTGCTGGTCCGGCAACATCGGTCAGATTGTCCTGCCCTCCATGGTCGATGACGACTGATTCACCAAATGAGGAGGAAGTTCGCAAGTAACTCCAACTCTTGAAACGCTACAAATCACTGGGCCCAGATGACTTATATTCGGCTCTTTTTAAAGATGGTGGTGACTTCTGACTAAGGAATTGACGACGTTGTTTACAAAGGTTTGGGAACTAGAGAGTGTACCAACGTCATGGAATTAGTCGATAGTTGTCCCTATCTTTAAAAAGGGTTCACGTCGTTCCTGTAACAACTATCGGGGGATAAGTCTGCTTCTGATTGCGTCCAAGCTATTGGCTTCCGTCGTACTTCGTAGCTTGTTCAAAACCCGAGAAAGATTGACTCGCTAGGAGCAGGCTGGGTTTCGTTCTGGTCGAGGATGTATTGATCATATCTTCACCCTCCGCCAAATGTTAGAACACCGCCATACTTATCAAAGGCCAACAATCGCAGTGTTTCTTGACATCAGGGCTGCCTTCGATTCGTTGGACAGGACTGTTCTCTGGGATTGTCTATTGAAGAAGGGTGTGCCTGAGAAGTTTATTAACATCCTAAAAGCCCTATTTACAAACACCTCAGGCAGACTGAGGGCATACAACCACCTCTCTCCATTGTTCCATTCGAGCAGTGGGGTTAGGCAGGGTTGCCCAATCTCACCATTCCTCTTCAACTTTGCCATCGATGACATTCTGGAAACAGCTCTGATGAATGTAAGCAATGGCGGTGTGGATCTGTTGCCTGGAGATAGACTCCTCGACCTTGAGTATGCGGGTGATATTGTCTTACTGTGCGATAATGCCCAAGGCATGCAATCCGCACTTAATCAGTTGGCAATCAGTGTCCGTAGGTATGGTATGTGCTTTGCACCTTCGAAGTGCAAAGTACTCCTACAAGACTGGCAGGATTCCAATCCTGTACTCACTCTGGATGGTGAGCAGATAGAAGTAGTCCAGAAGTTCGTGTATCTGGGTAGCTGCATAAGTGCTGGTGGGGGTGTGAGTGATGAGATTAATGCACGAATAGTGAAAGCCAGAGCGGCTTATGCCAATCTGGGCCACCTTTGGCGCCTTCGTGATGTTAGTCTGGCCGTAAAAGGTCGGATCTACAACGCGTCGGTGAGAGCAGTTTTGCTCTATGCTTGTGAAACCTGGCCTCTCCGAGTTGAGGACGTTAGACGACTCTCTGTGTTCAATCATCGCTGTCTCCGAAGGATTGTTGACATTCAGTGGCAACACCATGTTAGTAATGCAGAGGTTCGGCATCGTGTGTTCGGGCACAGAGACGATAATGCAATTGGTGTCACCATCTTGAAACACCGACTTCGGTGGCTTGGACATGTTCTACGAATGTCGTCCCAGAGAATTCCACGCCGTGCATTATTTGGCGACTCTGGGACTGGTTGGAAGAAGCGGAGAGGTGGTCAGTGCATGACATGGTGTCGTGGCATGAAAGAAAGCTGCAAAGGACTGGCTTCTGTCGGTCCTTCACGACTCCCTGGTTGGGGTCTGAGAGATGGTGCTACACAGTGGCTAGAGACGTTATCAGATATGGCTCAGAATAGAAGCCAATGGCGATCCTGCTGTAACCTTCTTTTACTTTCTTCATAAAATTGGTTGTGTCTCCCTTACCTGAAAGATTTCTTCTGATTCCACCTTTTTCGTTCCCCCGTTACTACCACACTACCTTACACCAATCTCTTCGTTATTGTTCTCTTTTTCTTTTGCGCCTCTTAGTTTTTTTTCTCTTTCTATTTCTCTTCGAATTTTCATTGTTTTGTGTGGCGCATATATATTGGCGCTCTCATGTACCGATATTCATGCATTCAAACAAATAATAAATAAATAAGTTATTAAGTAATAAATAAGGCTAGTTATTAAGACTAATATGAACTCAGAATAATATATATTTAAAAAATTATATCTTTACCGCACTAAGCGTAACAAACTTAAATTAAATGCATCATCTGTCCTGAACTTTAAAAAAGAAAAACATTCAGACAATTAACTGCTTAATCACTTTATATTTGAATAAGAGATAAAACTAAATTCCTATCAGTATATTTAAAAAATCAATATGTTCACTAAAGTGCAATAGGCCTGATACATACATTTTACAGTTACTTAACCGATGATTCGAATAGTTTAGTTACAAAACCAGTGATCAGTAACTTGTAAACAATACTAATTTAATGTCAGTGGGTCAATTCTAAGTAACAAATGAATAATAAAGGAAAATCAGAAAGGTTAAAATCATATACAATGTAGGCTGAGCAAAAACTGTTTTAATACTTACTCACTGCGTATTCCATTTCTAGGTTCCAGATGAACAAAAATAACCTGAGAGGAAAAAAACCCCAAGATTTATAAGCATAAGAGGTTACTTGATTAATACACAAGTATTTTACAGCCGTTGGAAGTGGTTTACTACGAGCTTTAGTGACACACAGTATATATCCATTTCTGTAGACCATAAAAAATAAAAGCTGTTGTCGGATCCAAGATCTTAACTAATCAATCAATAGGGTTTTTTGTGAAGTAGTGTGATGGCTGGTAACTTGCAACTAGATCCTTGACTTACTAATACTGTGCGAAATCCCATACAAATATTTGAAACCACTTAGTCTATGGTTCTGTTAAATTAGTAGTACTGTGAATCAAATAATCAGATCAGTGTATTTATTCCTAGTGGTCATGTTGCACAGTCGCATGACAAAGTACTATGCAATGATCCTTTTTGGTTAGACATAGAATAGATGGAAATAACTGAATTTCATATTTGGACCAACTATAGCTCCTCGTCTACTAGATATAGTTTTGTACACCTGTAACAAGCCAAGACATGTTCACGATTTGAGCTATATTTATTGGGTTGAAGCTACAGACACCAACTTGATATCAAAAAAATATGTAGGGCAGGTTTGGAACCCGTGACAAGCGGGATGAAAGCTGAGTCCAGTATGAGCCGAAGCTCTACATAGAAAGTAGCAATATAAAGAATTGTGACGACAGGGCAGTCTACCTAAGAGTTGAGCAATATTCCAAAGTTGGAGAAAACAACAATCTCACCCCAGTAGTGTACCTGACTAATATAACAGAAATAAATAGTGTACACCATTAGGTGGTCCGTAAATAGAAGGCAACAAGTATTCCGTCTTGTTTTTAGAAGTTAATTACATCATGTAAATGGTTTAAAATAAACAGCTTGTTTGAGTTAAGATTACTGCTTTGAATATTTGTTAGTTATTGACTAATTTGATAAGAGTTAGTCATTACTAGGATATTCTGAAACAAAACCAACGATCACGATCTCTAAACAAACATAGCCTCGGTAAAGTTATCTGCATTAACTGGAGCCATCTTTCTTAATCCCATTAAAAACACAATAGAATGAATATAAAAACTAAGACTAACTGTAGATTACAAGGCACGTCAATCTAAAAGTCGACAGATGGTAACGGGTTCTACACGTTAAGATGAACATTAATGATAACGTTTATGGGGCTCAAGAAGTAAGTTTCCGACTAGATCCCGAAAAACAATGAACGCTGAGGGTACATTGTCAAAGCAACTTCCTATATTAAACGGAATTGCTAAAACTTGGAACGAACTTAACGCATTACTGCTACTATTATATATTCTGGTATTCTTGAAATGAATAGAAAACTACAAGGTGCCAACTACCTAAACCATATCACAATTGGAAATCGAATATATCGGTCTATAAAATATGCTCTTTGAAGCCATGATTACTAAGCGAAGTGTTCCTATCTTTTTTACAAGCAGCAAAAAGCTCACTGAAATTTTACTTTTTCACGCTCCAGGTTAGCTTCTTCTATGGTAGCATCTTCATCTTCTAATTCTTCAAACTCATTTTGCTCATTGTGTATTGATAAGTGAACATTCACGCCAGGTGCTGCTTTGAGATGTTGCGCGACTATCAGTTTAAGTTCTCCTGAAAAGCAATTAAGGGAAACCACCACATACTTATTGTCTGAAACTTGCAATATGTCCCTTCAAACAGGAAAGTGGCACTTGAATTTGGAGGATTTAAGTAAAATGAGTAGTGAGGTGGATATATTTCGATTTCCGCTGACTTTGGAGCTTGGATGGCACGCCGTTCGAAGACTGAAATGTCTGTGTGCGTACAACCATAAAAGTCAACAAACAGCTTCCACACATTCCTAGGTATTAACGTGATGTCATTTTCTAAGAGCAAGTTCTCTTTTAATTTTCCATCACCTACGTTAATATAAGACATATATAGACAAAATCCTACATAAAATATCACTGTTATCAACTTTTCCTGGATACTCTTCCGAGGTCTCGTCAACCATCCCACTTTTGGAAACCGAGTCCACAAATTCCTCCCACTTCGTCCACCAGTTAAGAGATAGGATATACCTAGGATGGACAATAGCGACAAGCTAAACACGTTACCATAAGTCTCCTTTTGTTATATCTACATTCATTAACTCATCAACTTTGGCTTTTTGAGTAGCGAAAGTGGCAGCACTTATGCAGTTTCTGAAAATAGAAGTAAATGGAACGTTTACAAGCTTTTGGAGAACAAATTCACAGGTAAACGGTAGATTTTATACACACATCGCCAACTTACTGCGAGACCATTCCTAACCGCAACTTTCTTAAAACAAGCGGTGAAAGTTGCAACGCTGATCATTGCTTAACAGAAACAAGGTCAGTCTTCAGTAATAAGGATAGGAGGTTGGTGAACCTGAATTAATCCTGACACATTGCTTTCCAGTGAAGGTCCAGCTTCTCCTTGAAAATATTCACTGATGGGGCTGATACCACTTGTTCGGGTAAGGCGTTCCAATCTTTGACTACTCGATGAGAAAAACGGGACCCCACATTAAGTTTATTAGATCGTGGTTTATGAACCTTCTTGCTATGACCTCGGAGATTATTAGTGCTGGAGGGAGCAAAAACATAAGACATATTAACACCCAAATCATAATTAAAGATACGAAATGCCAGTATAAGGTCACCTCGTGTCCTACGATACGGCAAAAGGAAAAGGTTTAGACGTTTTAAACGTTCATCGTAAGAGAGTCTAGAAAGACCCTTCACTAATTTTGTTCCCACACGCTGGACACGCTCAAGGGAGTTAGTATCCTTCATCAGACACGAGCTAGCCGCTTGGATACAGTACTCTAAATGTGGTCTTACATATATAAGATATAAAATTCGAAACGTTTCCCCGTCAAAAGATTTGAACGCTCAGCGAAGTGACCACAACCTTTGACAGCAGCTGCTTTGCAATGCGTAGTTGTTTTTAAATCATGACTTATTACTACTCCTAAATCTTTATGTTCTTGAGTACATGGTAGAGGTTAACCCTCATTAGTATAACGGTAACTATCACCGTGACCGATGTGCATTAGCACACTCTTCTTAGCATTGATTTCTAAGCCCCACTCTCGAGCCCATCCAACTAAATCGTCTAAGTCAGCTTGAAGATCCAGATGATCAGCCGCACTTTTTATTGTTCTCCAGATTTTTACATCATCCGCAAGCAATAATGTCGACGGCCTAAGCAACAGCGCTAACTCATTAACGTAGAGAAGAAAGAACAGAAGGCCTAAGATGGTGCCGTGGGGTACACCACTTTTGACCGGCTTCCAATCGGATAGCGTCCCACTGACCCTCACTCTCTGTCTGCGGTTAAATAAGAAGTTTCCTATCCACTCATGTACAGTACCTATTATTCCGAAGCTCGTGAGCTTCTGCATAAGACCTATGTGTGAAGCCTTGTCAAATGCTTTGCCAAAATCTATGAATATCACGTCGACAGACAGGCCGTTATCTAGGGCTACTGTTCAATCTTCTCTCGCAATAAGCAAGTAAATCAAACATGAACGCTTGTTACGAAATCCGTGTTGTTCAGGAGCTAACAGATTGTGTAAATCTATGTGGCTTAGCAACCAGACCCGAATTATCTTTTCAAGTAACTTAACGACTGTGCTAGTTAGACTGACAGACCGGTAGTTAGATACTATCTGTCTCTGACCCTCCTTAATTATAGGACTGACTATAGCGACCTTCCAATCTCTTGGGAGTTGAGCGAATGAAAGGGACATATTGAAGAGTGTCATGAGAGATTTTGAAATAATGTCCGCAAGAGATGACAGCAACCGTGGATGTAGCCCGTCAGGGCCCGGTATCTTACAAGGTTTGAGGTTAGTTATCAACGGAAGGACAGTTTCCTCAGTCACCTGTACAGATTCAGTGGTTGGTATCTTGGTGTGAGTGGGACAAGTATTTGTTACAATAAACGTAGAGTAGACTTCGCTAAAATAGTTTGAAAAAGTCTCAGCTTTTGCTCGATCTGATTCAGTTAGTAAATCTGAATTTTCGTGTGGCAGCAACAGGGGAATACCATCACTACGTTTCATTCGCCGTTTAACATACGAAAACAGTCGTTTCAGACAAGTACGGCTATCATATACTAACTGTCATTCGTAAGTGGTACTGGATTCGGCTATGATTTTCTCACAGATATTACGGAATTTTTGGTACTCACGCTTAAATGGTGCATGACCTGTCAACAAGTCTCCATGAACATACAGGGGTATCTGCTCATGGCTTCAAAATTGATATCACTTTTGATTTTTCAATAACATTTCTGGTGAAGCTATTATTGACGTATTAACAACACGTATGTTTGCTTCGTTATATTACGCAGTTTGAAATTTACGTCGTGAGCTCTGTCCAGTGTAGATATACTCAACGTTATCAAATCAACAATGTGTATCGTAGACCCGAACCCCGGTGGTGTTTACGTTAATCTAGGTTGGAGAAAACCTAATTATAGCCGTAGTTCATTTAAAATAGTCTGTCAGGAAATGATTTTAATAGAGAAATGTTTGAGGCTCAGTTTAGTTTCGGTAGTTGTGTTGTAAACCATGTACCGACTCATAAGTGACCGTAGTCTTCAATCCTGAAACGGTATCATCTGTATTTTTAGGTAAGCGTTGGTTGATTATAGGTTCATTATTCCGTTTATCGGCTCCATTATCCATAGTCAGCTACTTTGAGTGACATGTTAATTCGAATGAAACAAAAATTGCGATGCTTCCATAGTTTGACGTAGTTGATTGTTGTATTATACAGTCTATTGAAAACAATCACAGTAATTGAAAGGTAGGAGTGAACCTCATAATTTTGGTAATTAGAGTCATTTAATTTTTCATTTCGGTTAATGTCGTTAGGTGTTGAAATCTGAAAACGATTAGTAGAGTAATTAGCTCACAGGAGTTGTAGTTGAGAGGTTAGGACTTGTGCAATACAGGAGGAATCAAGAGGATGTGACCTTGATGTATCATTTTTGTCATATTACCCCTCAGTCCAACGTATCGCTTTTTGATTTCAGCAATAAATCAGGCAGTGGTGATATAAACTCATTGTAGTAAGCGGAACTCTTGTGAAAATGACGGAAGACCTCTTGCAACTCCCATGTTAGTCTGCTTTAAAGGAGAACATTTGTAACATCTTGGGTTTGTTTGTTAAGAGTTTACCTCAAACAACCAAGCATATACCAAAACAGTATAGTTCAAGTATTGATTCACCTCCTTATTTTGTATAGGCGTTATATTTCCTATAATCTTATATTGAGTGTTGAGAGGCTTTGTTTGTCTGAGTTGGTGTAGACGATGATGTGACTTCCACGTAAGATCTTATAGATTAGGCAGTCATATCATGACAAGTTTACAATTTTAGGATTAGGTCTATTATTAGAACAGTACTGATATCACAGTACACCATAATTCTACACATTAATCCATATCAATCCGTCTAGAAAAAAAGTATCTTGGAAACAACTGTTATCCCGATTTTTCTTCATCACAGATAAAATGGGTCTTGTACGATATATTATAAATGTCTCCGTGCGACTTGTATCCGTCATGTTTATTCTGAATCTACATGCCATCCACCCACATTTTCCTTATTTCCTTCGTTTGTCCAAGGAAAAGTAATTGATGATATACGTCCACTAGTATCCGTAACCACTAGCTGGAAGAACTTATCCCTAATGAAATCAGATAAACAGAACACTTTCACTTACTTTCCTTTGCTAACATTGCATTTCAAATCGATGCAAGTAACTTCAAAATCACTCCCAGTTGTTGTCATTGGCATAGCCTCTTGCAACCAATCACCACCTAATCTCCCGAACCACGCACCACTTTTCAGATACTTTTTATTGAAAGTCTAGTCGTGTACCATATTGGGTGGAGTTATTATGTACCAGTTGACATTATACTGCACGCAAAACGTGTCTTGACAGCAGGTAAACTTTGATCGATAAAGATGTGATCGTGATGAATGTTATATACTTTTTTACTCTCTGTCTATGGCCCTTTGGTTTCCTTGTATGACCACAACAATGAACATACATAACATACTGATAGCGGATTTCCAGCTTTGTGTCGTTCAACTCGCCTGCATTCACCACCTAATGTGTCATCTAATAACATCATATGGTATATATTATGCAACATACCTACTTCCATAGATCGACAACAACCTCAAATTGTCACAGGTTGTCAGGTGCATAGATCTCATGTACGTATATATATATATCACTGTTATCCACAAAAGCTAGACACTCACTCAACTGGAGATGGTTATTCATAATAATTTAGAGGATGGCAAACCGGAGTTTCCTTCATAGTTGTTCATGACATCAAAAGCAACAGTTAAGAGTCAATAGGCGGCTAGTTGGAAAGTTCTAGGCGGAAGGAATGTCGATTAGAGTTAAGAAAAACCTATTTTATTGCATTTTCGGTGTGTAACAGACGTCTTTGTCCGCCAGTTGCGAATATCGGTAATGGATGTAGATGGTAGAATTTCCTGGAAGACCATTTGTGTTGACAGCATATTTGAGGCTTAAGAAACGGTTGGGTATTGTGGAGGCCCGTAGTTTGATTTTGTCCTCATTTAGATCGACGATATTCGTTGAAGGGCTCACCATTTTTGTGGCCCGAGGATCTGACTCCTATTTAGGTCGTAGGAATGTTTGTTATCGCCTATTCTCGTATATAATCGTCCACTTAAATCGCGTTAGTCAATAACGGAATTAAATAAGTCGAATAACGAGAATTGACTTGAGAATACATATATTTTGTATATGAAGCGAATGAAACAGAGCAGAGCAAAATGACACGCAGGGAAGATGGCTGGGAAGCTAACTCCATTTTAGTCAAGCGTTACTCAATATTTATAGTCAGACAAAATAAACTATAGACATGTGATGAGTCATGGGATATGAAGTGTACACACATATCTGCTCATATAAAAGCAGTCAAGACTGATAGGCGAATAATTGACAAGGTCAAATATGACTCAAGTAGAATGAATAGAATGGAATGTCCGAAAGCTAGAATAAGATAAATGGGCTTAAAATAATGAATGACACTACAGTATTTCGCAACTTATGTATGACGTCCTATAGACGTTGTGGTACCAACATCAGCAAGGGTTATTTGTGTCTTGTGGTCTTGAAGTAGATATAAGCGACATCATACGAGTAAGAAAAGTCGTAATCTCACAAATGCAGACGATGTACACTCATCACACTCACGAGTAGACTAAAGGAAATTGTAGTGAATGTTGGAAGCATCTAAATTTTGCTTTGAGGTCCCCGTCC